ACCGGGCGCACTGGACTGAGACTGGGCATGGTGGCCTGTGCCACCCTGTAATCCCAGCACTTGGGAGGCTGAACACAGGAGGATCACCACGAGTCCAATCTGTGTACTGAGACCCTGTAGACCCTGTACTAAATACATTTAAAAAAGAAAGAAAAAGAATGTAAAGTTCTCAAAACGACAATATGAAAATAAAATTTTAAAAACCTGTATCAATCCAAATGAAGGCAAGAAAGAAGAAATACTAGGGCAGGCCTGATAGCTCAGCAGACTAAAGCGCCTGCTTAGGCAGAGTGCAGTGGCTGGGGTTCGATCCTGGCGTGCCATCCCCCTCTCCCCGTGGGGCACGCTGAGATGGTGATTGAGACTGGGCATGGTGGCGTGCGCCTGTAACCCCAGCACTTGGGAGGCTGAACACAGGAGGATCACTGCAAGTCCGATCTACATAGTAAGACCCTGTAGACCCTGCACTAAATACAGAAAGAAATACTAAACAAGTGAAACAAAAATTATAGAAGATAGCAGATTGCATCTCAAATCTTTAGTATTACTATTAAATGTATATGGTGTAAATCAAGTTTTCCAACAGAAAGTCAGGCCACACATCTAATTTAAATTTTCTAGCATCCACATTATAAAAAGTAGAAAGAACCAAGGTAAGTAATTTTCAATTTTATTTATTTATTTATTTATTTATTTTGCATTTTTTAGTAAGGGTCTACAGGGTCTAACTAAGCAGATTGGACTCGAAATGATCTTCCTGTGTTCAGCCTTCCAAAGTGCTGGGATTGGGCCAGGAAGATAGCTCAGTGGAATAAGTGCTTGCCTGACAAGCACAAGGTCCCGAGTTCATCCCTGGTACTGCAAAGTGCTGGGATTACAGGCGTGTGCCACCATGCCATCCCAAGTCACCTTCTCAGCACCCTGGGGGCGGGGCCTGGCCTCGGTGTCTGCCTAAGCAGGCGCTTTAATCCGCTGAGCTGTTTGGCAGCGACTAGTAATTTTCAATTTAACTCTGTCCAAAATATCATTTCAGCTTGCACCTAATAGTCAAAATTGTTGCAAAGTTTTGAATTCCTTCTCCCTCAACATATTCCCAGGATTTGGTATGTTTTGAATTTATAGCACAGCTGCTTTAGTTACTTTTCTCCTAGCTGAGACCACCAAAGCTAAAGGAAGAGAAGTTTATTTGGCTCAATCTGTAGAGGATTCAGCTCCTAGTTGGCTGCTCTAAGGCGAGGTGGCACAGCAGAGAGCCGTGCAGGAGAGACAGTTCATGATGGGCAGAAGACAGAGGGCAAAGGAACCAAGCTACAAGTGACAGTGGCAGCTTCTTTCTGCCCCTTTATGTTTTGCCTAGGACACGTGCCCTTAGGGAAGGTCGCGCTCACACCCAGAACTCTGCCAACCAATCAGTGGACTGAGTAGCAATCACACACCCTTGATCCCAGCACCACCACTTTAGCTGGTGCCAGCGCTGCCAAAGCCCCAGCTATGACAGCACCAGGCAGGGGGCAGGCGGGCATCTACAGGCAAACCCCAATAACAGCCTAGCTTGGACCCGCCACACGTCAAGGGTTCAGGAGACACCTGCCATTGCTGGCCGTCACATGGGACGGCACAAGGCCAGCATTCAGTGGCAACTAGTGGGCTAAACTTAAACACAGACACGTTTTTTAAAAATAAATAATATTTTTATTTTTTTAGTAAGGGTCCACAGGGTCTCATTGATACAGGGAAATCTCCAACGACACAGGGAGAAAATCTGATCTCCCAACCTAAAAGGTATCTGGGATGAGTTCGTGTTCTCTAAAACCAAAGAATGAATTTTAGGAACAAACGAGGGTTATGAGCAGAATGTATTTATTGAGCGACAGAAAGCTCCTGTCCAAGAGAGGGACAGGAGGGGGCCCCGAGCGGGTTGTTCCCCAGGAAGTTGCCTCTTCCAGGGATTTTTATAGAGGAAAACCATGCTGTGAGACGGGTCTAAGGTGGTGGAGAAGACATGGGAACTCGCTTAGTTGGGCATGAGGTGGGACAAAGCTATGGTCAACCAATCAGATTACAAGCACCATTGCTCAGGTAAAATTAATTAAATCCAGTACCAAGGGGGCCGGGGAGATGGCTCAGTAGAATAAGTGCTTCCCTGGCAAGCACAGGGGCCTGAGTTCAATCCCCCATTCCGCAAAAAAAAAAAAACCCACTACCAAATGGGGAAGCGAGTCACATAGCAAGCAGGCATGAATGCGGGACAGGGTCTCTTCCTGTTGGGGGCTGGGCTAGTGACTCAATAGGGCTCTTTCAAGGTGATTAACACCTATTTAGACCATCAATTCCTGATGCCCCTCCCTAGGGAAGTATGTAGCTGTGTTTCCTCTTTTGTCTTGGTCGTGAGGTGTGGCCCATATGGGAGTGTCTGTCTCTTCCCAGGTGTAAAGTCCCCTTGCCTTCTATCTTGTCTCCTTAAGGCCCTGTCTGACTGCCTAGAATATTTCTATCTAATTCAGCTGCCCACAACATCGCTCAGTAGATCGGACCGCAGGGATCAGCCTCCCAAAGAGCTGGGATTACAGGCACCGCCGCCTCGCCCAGTCTCAACTGCCTTCTCAGCACATCCCAGGGGCGGGGGCGGCGCCGGGGCTTGAACACCTCCGCTGAATCTGCCTAAGCAGGCAATTTATTATTATTTATTTTTTATTTATTTATTTTTTTTTGCGGAACCAGGGGTTGAACTCAGGCCCCTGAGCTTGCCAGGCAAGCGCTTATTCTACTGAGCCACCTCCCTGGCCCCTAAGCAGGCGATTTAATAATAAAAAATAATAATAATAATATTTAAAACACAGTGGGGCTGAGGAGATGGCTCAGTGGAATAAGTGCTTGCTTCCCTGGCAAGTGCAAGGGCCTGAGTTCAATCCCCAGTTCCGAAAAAAAAATTTAAAACAATAAATCAGAAAGGTTGTAAGAAAAACTATAAAGATGCATCATAGAAAACTAACCCCGGGGCTGGAGAGATGGCTCAGTGGTCTAAAGCACCTACTTGAAACAAGCTTGGCAAAGCATAGGGACCTCGGTTCGATCCTCCAGCACCACATGCCAGCTAGCCCCGCCCCCTGGTGGGCTGAGCTGGCCACACACACACACACAATAAATAAATAAATGTAATAAATAAAAAAAATAATAAATAAAAAAAAAAAAGAAAACTAACCCCAACAAGGACCTGTGTGATAGCTCAGGGGACTAAGGACCTGCTTAGGCAAGCACAGGGGCTGGGGTTTGATCCCTGGTACCACATGCCGTACCAGCCCCACCCCCAGGACATGCTGAGCCCTGGATGGAGTCTGGGTGTGGAGGTGCATGTCTGTAATCCCAGCTGCTGGGAAGGCTGAACACAGGAGGATCACTACAAATCTGAACTGTGCAGTGAGACCCTGTACCCCAAAAAATAAAATAACCCCAACAAATTGATACAGCCTTATTAATATTTAAGTTAGACTCTAAATCATAAAATATTGTAATAATTTGTAAAGTATATAAAATAATTTCCAAAATATATAAAACTGAGCTTGACAGAATCATAAGGCATGACAAGAGAATTCACGGAGTGAAAGAGTCTAACAAACCTGGTTCAGTCTTTGATATAATGAATAGGTAAAAAGTTAAGTTTCTATATGATTTAGAATGACACAAATAGCAAAAGTGAGCCGAGGCTCACAGAGAAGAGCATGGGCAGTAACTGTGGTCATGGACCTTCTTTTCATGAGGACAATTATAGAGGTGGCCAAGGTCCGGGTCCTAAAGCACCTGTCCAAGAACTGAAATCATACAGAGCTCAGAGGCATGTCTGGAGGCCAGTAACTGCGGCAGCGGACTGGGTCAGCTTGCGTGGGAAATGCCCAACTTGGTCGGCTCAGCACAGCTCTGGCATGGCGCCCACCCTAGGAGGACAGTCACCAGAGTGGTGCAAAAGGGAAAAAGAAGAAGGAAGCGTTGCTCCTGCTCCTTCGGAGGGGCTCCCGTCTTCGCCTTCGCCTGGGGCGGCGTCTCCCGGCTTCCGGGCCAGACCCTTCGGCTGGAAGCCGCAGCCCTGACCTGACACCGACACGCGGGGCTCCAGGCCTTTGGCCCCAAGTGTGCGGATGGACCTTCTGCACTTTCCCACACCCAGCTCTGTGGTGGCTATCACAGGCCAATCTTGAAAATTCTTACTTATTTGTGTGTCCCGTATTAGATCAGTTTCTCTAGTAAGCACTGACTGATACAATAACAGTTAATTAGAACCCAAATTATGAACTTAATAAAGAAGAAATCACAATAGAAATTAGAATACAATTCGAATTCAATGCAAATGATAGTACAATAGAATCAGAATAACAGAGAGCCCATATGTACATTATATAAGACAAAATTGGAAAAAGCAACGCCAGAAAATAATACCAAATCATGGTAGAGATGCATAAAACAATGAACAAGCAGAAAGTGAAATACAACCAAACAGAAGACCAACTGAGCCAAAAGCTAATTCTCACCTTTTTTTTTGTGGCGGAACCAGGGATTGAACTCAGGCCCTTGTGCTTGCCAGGCAAGCGCTTGTTCTACTGTGCCATCTCCCCAGCCCCCAAAAAGCTGATTCTCATGGAAAAAGAATCATAAAATTTGTACACTGCTGGCAAGGCTGAGAAAAGAGGGAGCCATTGCCAGGCAGGTGAGGAGGTGGCCAGCACTGTCAGGGAGAGGCCACCTAGGTCCACAGTGACTGTGCCCACAGGAGCTCTGTGAACATGTGGGACACAACTATGCAGTCCCTTGGCAGGAGGGACCACATGACCCCGCAACACCAACCTTAGGAATTCACCCCTTTTATCAGCTAGAGCAAGGGCCCCGCCCCTTCCCTGAGCAAGCGAGGCCCCACCCCCAGCAGCGAGGCCACGCCCCTACAGCACTCAAGGCTCCGCCCCCTCCCCAGCACTGGAGGCCCCGCCCTCAACTGGCCCAGGGCCGCTCACCTGGAAGAGCCTGGTCTTCAGGTTCATGCTGCCATAGCCTTCCCGCTGGCTGAGGTAAAACGTGCCGGTGAAGCTGCAGCCGTCCGGCCACGTGTAGGTGCCCAGGCCATGGCAGTGGTCACGGTAAAACTGCCCGCAGTAGGCCTGTGTGGACAAGAGGTCAGAGAGGCTCCTGGGCGCCCGCAGGTGGGCTGAGAGGCAGGCCACCGGTGGCCATAACACAGGGCCTGCTCAGGCCTGGTGGCCGGGAGAGGTGGACGCTCTGGCCCCATGCCCACACCATCCTGCCCTCTGCCTGGAGCTGCACGGTGCCCATCCAGCCTCAGCAGTCCCAGCAGAGCAAGCTGCGACCACCCCCTCAGCACCTCAAACCCAGCAGCCAGTCTCCCCTAACGTCCTAGGCATGACCACTTGGTCTTTTTTTAATGTATTTGGTACAGGGTCTCACTACACAGCTCCGACTCTAGTGATACTCCTGCTTTCAGCCTCTCTAGCGCTGGGATTACAGGCATGGACAGCACGCCTGATCTCCGTGGCCAGCTCAGCATGCCAGAGGGCGGGGCCACTGCAGCATGTGGTGCTGGGGATTGAACCCAAGTCCCTGCATTTGCCTAAGCAGGTGCTTAATCCGCTGAGCTATTTGTCTTGAAAAAGATTGTTTGCCATCTGTTTAATCTTAAAAGCAAGGCAATTTCATGAGTGTATGTTGCTGCAGTAATTCAAAATTCTCTTTTTATTTATTTTTGGACTTTTGAGACACAGACTAGATATGCAGATCAGGCTAGCCTTGAATTTACTATGTAGCCCAAGCTGGCCTCCACCTCACAGAGATCCTCTTGCCTCAGCCTACTGAGTGCTGGGATTACACATGTGTGCCACTATGCCTGGCATCTGATTCTTTATTTATTTATTTATTGGAACCGGGGATTGAACTCAGGCCCTTGTGCTTGCCAGGGAATCACCTATTCTACTGAGCCATCTCCCCGGCCCCTGATTCACAATTTTAAAATGTTTGTCCAGAATATGAATTTATCTTAAGTCACAGCTTTGCAAATATTGTCACAGGTGGGCTGACATAAGTCTCACGATCCTCTCCCACATGCCCAAACAGGGGAGGCGGCAGTCTAGTGCTTCCTGCAATGGCCTCAAGGTTTCCACCACTCTCGGGAGAGGCCTGGGCCCCGTACCAGGGAGGACATGGGGGGCAACAGAAGTCACTTACCTCACCTGTGGGCCAAGAGAACTCGCCATACCCCATCTTCACGTTGAGCCCAAACTCCCCCTGGTAGACACTGCCGTCCGGCCAGGTCTGCACACCACGGACCAGCTGGATGGGGGCCACCTTGAGGTGCAGCTCACTCAAGGGCCCCTCAGTCTCCTCCACCTCCTCCTCCAGGGACACTGGTCCCTCCCTGGAAGATATAGCACAGGGCAGCTGTTGTGAGAATGACCTCCTGTGGGGCAGGGGCACTGCCCACACTGTGGTTTCTCCCTCACCAGGACCCAAGGGTGGGTGCCCTTGTCACAGCAAGGGAAAATGAGGCACAGAGGGCACCAGGATTGCCCAGGGGCACTCACGGAGTGGAAGGTACACAAAGGGTGCAAACTGTAATGCCACATGCTGCCTGCCCAAGGCCAGGCCAGTCAGTGCTCCAGCCCGAGCGGGCCACCTGACCCCCAGCCAGACACAAGGACAGGTCCAGGGTTGGTGTAGGGCCGCAGGGTAATGTGTGCTCCAGGCAATTACTTCTGGGATGGAAGTCCCTGGGCCCAGCATGCCGCAGCCTGCCTGCCTGCCTCTCAGCTCTGAGGCACGTGGGGTGCAGGTGTCGCTGGCCCAGAGACCAGTCTCAGGGTCCAGGCGGTCACCTGGCCCACCTAGGAACCCTCAGACTCCACCCCTCCACCAGGCAGCCTCAGACGCTGCCCCACACCACGGGGGCTGAGCCCGAGTCTTCCGATGAGGAAGGGGACTGGGTGAGAGACCGCAGATCAGATCAGTGGGTCAGGCATGTTCTGGGCAGAGAAGCCAGACGACAGACATCCACCCACAACGGTGTTAAATGTGGGGGGCATTTCTTTGGTTTTTCTTTCTATTGCTTACCTGTTATGGGCTGAACTTTATTCCCCTTGAAATTGTGTTGGAGCCCTAACCCACAGCGGCCTAGAAGTTAATCCTAAGTGGAGACTGGTCCTTACAGAAATAAACCAAGACCACTGCAGCTCAATGCAGAAAGACCTAACTCAGGTCCGGGGTCAGTGCAGCCTGTGTATTCACAGGGAGGGGATATCTGAACAAGGAGAGGTATGCGGCGATCTGACGCTGCACCTAAGAAGAGGACCCACTGCCAGTGCAGGAGAGAGGAGGTGCCAGCTGCCTGCCCAAAACCCAGGTTGTAATTTTGTTCCTTACGCCACTCAAGCTCCTGGCTTTGTAACAGCAGCCTGGAAAAACTCACAGACTTGTAATTCCTTCTCCCCCCCCCTCCATGGGATTGTTATTAACTGACTTCAAAAAGCTTACATTAACAAAGGAGAAAGACACCACACAGTGGGAAGAGAAGAAACAGACTTTTTTTTTTTTTAAGGATTTTGGGTTTGGGTTTAGGTTTTTTAAGACAGGATCCCACTCTGCTGTCCAGGCTGGCCTTGCCTTGGACTATGTAGCCCAGGTTGGCCTCCACCTCGTGGCCTACAGCGCTGACTTTACAGGCGTGCACACCATGCCCAGCGGTAGGCCTACTCTCAACCCCACAGTAGTGAAACTCCCTGAGTTATTCCTGTTCCCCTAGGACGTCTGCGCGGCGGAGTAGCGTGGACTAGAAGGGCTGTCAGATGCGGCTCTCGTTACCTGCCCTCCTGCCTTCAGTGGTGGGTGGGCTAATGTGTGCGCTTTTCCAGCTCTCCAGAGTCTAGGGGCTTTAGGGAGCAGGAGGAGTAACTTGTAGTGACTGTTCAGCCTGCCCCAAGGGTGCATCCCTGCCGCTTGGGGCTCTGTCAGGGTGATGGAGGGGGCACTGCACCTGGCAGTGACGAGGCTGTAGCTGTCTGGGTGCCCGGGATCCTCCACCGCAGAAGGCTGGCCATCCTGCTCCTCCACCCGGCCTCTGGAGCTATAGTCCAGACTGGCCGAGGAACGATCTCTTTCCATGTCTGTCCCCTTCCACCCTGGAGACGAAGCTTGGGACCACTATGGTCCTCAGAAGTCCTGCGAAGGATCCGGGCGCCTCCAGTAGCGCTGCCAACCCCAACGGCGCCCCAGCCTAAGCAGCAGAGAGCGTCCAGTTGCCCTGGAGACGCCTCTGCCCGCCCCGCCCCGCCCCGCCCCGCGCCGCTCAGCGGTCCAAGGTCGGCTGTCAGGCACTTAGGCACTTGGAGGGAGGAGCAAGCCGAAGCGGCAGGCAAGGCCACCTGCAGACAGGCGGGCGCGCAGCTGCGGAGGGCGCCCAGTTTGCGTACAACCTCAGAATTGCCGGTGTTGGAGGCTGCAGGAGAGGGGAGGCTTAAGATCCCCTGGGACACTGCGAGCACATTCAGATTTGACAAGAATTGGTGGAGGTGCAGGGTCACAGAGATTACTTTTGATGGAATGACTGCGAATCTTAAGGAAGAAAACGAATCAAACTTTTATTACCACCAGAGTGAAGCTGGAACTGCAATTAACTATTTCTGTAGGGCCAGGAAACCGCTGCTTTTTCGCTGTTCCCTGAAAGCCACTATGATGGCGTCTCCAGAAACGTCAATTTCATGAACGTTAAATGCATCTAAAGAAGATTTTTTTTAAGTCCCAGTGCTAGCCCTAGAAGTTAAGACAAACACCCAACAAGTCCCGGTCTATGAAGAAGTGACGAAAGCGTCCGTTTTATTTCATTGGAGGCAAACCTTACAGTAAAAAGGGAGTGACAAAAGGCACGTCTAGGTGGCAGGTGACGAAGGGCTGGCGCCGTCGGGAAGTGGCACAGCCCGCGGGGTGCACCCCGTCAGGTGCCCCCGGGGCACCGCGCAGCTACACCCGCCCCGCAGAGGGACGCTTCCGGCCAAGGCACTGCGCACGGGCACCAGCGCAGCCAATGGGGCGGCGTCACGGCCGGGCGCCCCCGCACGCCGCCCCGCAGCCCGCCCCCGCACAGTCCTCGGGCGCTCGCGATGGGCGGGGGCGGAGCCGGCCGGCGCTGGCCCGCAGAGGCCGCGCCACAGCCGTTCGCGCGCGTTGCCCCGGCGCTCTTCCTCGGGAGCGCGCGCGCCGTGGGCGCCACTGAGCAGCTGACGCACGCGGGCGTCACCCTGTGCGTCAACGTCTCCCGCCAGCAGCCAGGCCCGAGCGCGCCCGGGGTCGCCGAGCTGCGCGTGCCCGTGTTCGACGACCCGGCTGAGGACCTGCTAGCGCACTTGGAGCCCACCTGCGCCGCGATGGAGGCCGCCGTGCGTGCCGGCGGCGCCTGCCTCGTCTACTGCAAGAACGGCCGCAGCCGCTCCGCCGCCGTCTGCACCGCCTACCTGATGCGGCACCGGGGCCTCAGTCTGCAGCGGGCATTTCAGGTGGGCGCTTCCGGGGCGGGCCGGCCTGGCGGCGGGACTTCCTGCAGGGCTGAGCCGGGTCCTAGGCGAGGGCCTTCTAGGAGGGGCGGGGCGCGGGCGGGGCGCTGCCATTGCCTTCCCTTTGCCACGCTCCCGCAGACGGTGAAGGACGCCCGTCCGGCAGCCCAACCCAATCCGGGTTTCTGGTCTCAGCTCCAGAAGTACGAGCAGACCCTGCAGGCCCAGGCGCTGCTGCCGCGGGAGTCGGCCGGCCACCGCACGGGGGACCCACCACCCCTGTGAACCGCCCTGGCGTTGCCGCAGTCCTCGCAGCCGCACCACAGGCCCACGCCGCAGCTGAAGGGACATGTGACCCTCAGTCTTCGCCGCTACGATGACCACTCGCTTCTCCTCCCAGCCTCTTGCAGCAGCGCAGCTTGGCGGGGTCGCTTCCCCTTCCGGATGGCAGTGCAGCCGTATGGACCTGTGGCTCCCACCAGAGGCCAGTTCTGCCCACCACGCTTTGGTCAGATAAGCCACAGGAGAGAAAGGTCGCGCAGGGACTAGAAGTTGGGAGAGCCAAGGACAAATGAGGCCCAGCTGTGGACGTGGGGCTGTGGCGCGCCGGCAGCTGCCGCAGCCACCCAAACCTCATCCCTGGCCCCTTCCCAGAGCTGAGCAAAGGATCGAAGCTACTGCAGTTGGGCAGCGAGTGTCAGCCCCATTTCCCACTTTACCTTGCCTGTTACAGCAACATGGCATGCCAGCCATGTGCTGGGCCTCCCCTCGTGTGGAGGGTGGAGCCCATCACCTCTTCGAGTTCAGACACAGCCTACCGTAGACGTCTGTGGCCTTCAGGCTCCTAGAAAGTTAGTCACCATCTACACCCCTTGAATAAGACAGTGGGATATGTGCAAAGGAAAGTGGGTGATGCGTGCAAATTATAGATAATGTCATGGGTTAATATAGAGAATATATTTAAGGCAGTGAATAAAGCTCTACAATCAGTATTTGTTGTTTTTCACCAGAGAGCTTCAAGTACCACTGCCCCTGCAAGGTCAGGTCAGTCACTGGGTGCTGTCAGCCTCAGCAGAGCTCAGGGTTGGGGAGATGGGAAGCACAGTGTGTGTGTCATTGGGGTGACAGAAAGAGTGGCCAGCCTGTCTGCCGCTTGTACTCGTGGACCTTGGTTTCTGACTGCATCAGGAACAGAGCACCCACCAGGCCTTGGATGGTGCTGGCCCTGCTCTCTGGGCCCAGGGGACTGTCCATGTAGCTCTGCTCGGCCTGGATAGTCCAGCAATGCCAGGCTTACACTCTGAGGCCCCTCATGGCCCAGGCATTACCCCCATCAACCCCCTAAGAGGGGTGCTGCCCTTGCCCTGCTCAGCTGGAGAGGCTTAAGGTAGGCTGCAGAGGACCTAAGCCAGTGTGTACAGCCAGTCCCTGCACAGAACTCCAGTGGAACTTCCAGTGAGCTCCCCTGAGGGTAAGGCGCAACCTGGCCTGCTGATCTGGCCCTAGCTGAGGATGCAGGGGCCACTGGGCCTCCACCAGTTTGAAAGAGTTTTTGGTTACATCAGACATGTTTTATTTCTGTTCTGGAAAACCATCCACCTGTGGCTCCCACTAGGGGCCAGTTCTGCCTAGGACCTGTCCCAGGACAACATAGCCCTACGTGGAATCCCACTTCTTTCTGAAGCCCCTGCTCTCCTCCCAGCACACTGGTATTCTACCCATCTCAGTGCCCACCTTCTAGTAGTTGAAACTACAGTCCCATTCTATACCCCTGGCATCAGCACAAGTGAATTGGGGTGTCCCTTCTGTGCATTAGAAAGCTGGGGTGCAGGTGGCTGTCAGAGCTGCTTCTGGCTCCGACTTATCAAAAGGCTGGACTGAGAATTCTTTCAGGAGAAACCCAGGACTCTGGCAGCCATGGGCCCAGCGCTGACTTCCATCACCAGAGGGTGCAGCACAAGGGAGCGGATGGCACCAAGGTTGCTGGCGCCACCTCTGGGGTTTGCAGGTTGCCCTGCGCTGGGGCTTCCAGGGCCACGAGGGTGTCCTGGTGGGTCGCCTCCATAGTGCAGAGTGGCCTTGTGCTGTCTGCGGACGTGCTGGCACCTGTGCAGGCACTGCTCTCACCGCAGTGGGGGGGGGGGAGACTGACTCACCCCTGTGGCTGCAAAATTGGCCACAGGGAGGCGCCTAGGGATCTCCAGCAGGAGCCCATCCTCTACACCTTGAATCCAGCTGGGGTCCAAGTAACAAGGACCCCATACTCCACAGCAGAAAGGCCAGCAAGGGGGGACTGGTCATACGCTGGCCACCTCAAGGCAGCAGGTGGACCAGTTCTCTTTCCTCCTGAGTCTCAGATATTGGACCGACCCCCTTCCCCAGGGACTGCATGAGCAGTGGGGTATGGAGTGGGGACTCCATGAGGGTAGGCCATTTCCTCCATTGAGGAGGGAATGTGGCAGCCTGGAGTGATGCTCACGCCTGCTCAGGACCGGCTCCCTCCCCACCTTGCTTCCCATCTCATCCTGGGATGGAGAACAGGATCACACACATTACTGTGGGGAGACTGAGTCGACAGCTGGTGACACTCAGGCATGACACAGCAGTCACCGCAGCTACCAAGGCCTCCTTGCGCAGTGCGAAGACGGGACCTCATTCCACAGGCTGCAGCCCATTGGGCAGGTGAGAGAGGCCCCAGTGCTCTGCAGCCAATCGCCCGCAAGTGCAGCCTGGGCAGTGCCAGCCTGGCCTGCAGCACGGAATGTGGCCCCAAAACAGTCCGTCCCACCTCGTCCACAGCGCGGCATACAATGTCCCACGATGGAAGTTTCCTGCCTGCTGTCTGCTACGCCCCTCCCCACTACCCGGACAAGCAGACCCTAGACACATGGGAGCAACCGACAGCCTTTCACTTCGCCCCAACCTAAATGGGAAGCATACAGGGGGCTGCCAAGTCTGGCAGGACAGCCTCAAGCTCCCAAGCCCATCACGGGGAGTGGGCCCAGGGACCGGATTCCAAGGCCCAGAGTCAGCGCTGCACTCCACGGCCCAGGCCGCGCAAGAGGCAGCCCGGCCTTTCCGAAGCTGTACCCTCCAGGTGTTGCCCAGGTCAGCAGTGTCCCAGGGGAATCAGGGATCCCTCCTCCCGGTCTCCCAGGAGCCGGTCAGATAGGAAGTGCGGGGCGCGGGACTGAGGAGGGCGCTAAACCCTGACCCCCACCCCAGCCCAGAGCAACAGCATTTTAGCCTCTTGCACAGCCCCTCCGGCTCGTAGCGCCCCCTGATCACAGCACCCCCAACTCACAGCCTCACAACTTTGGCCCCGGCCTTCCTCTCCGGCGCCTGGGCCCTGGCTGCCCGCACAGCACCCTGATCACAGCGCCTCAGTCAGCGCTCGTGCACGGCCGCAACCTCCGCCTGCAGCGCCCCCAATCACAGTGCCCCAGCTCAGAGCGTCCCGGCGCCGATCCGCCCCGCGGGCGCACAAGCTCTAGCCGCGCACAGAACGCGCGGGTGTGCACTGAGCCCGGGATCTCGGCGCCCGGGCTCTCAGCACACAGGCCTGTCCCTCCCTGCGGTCGCACAGCCCGGCCGGCGCACAGCGCCCCCGGCGGCCACAGCCCAGCCGGAGCGGGGCGGCGCAAGAAGCAGGGTCGGGCCGGGCGGCTCCCGGCGCGACTTCCTGTTGTGCCCGCGCCCCGCC